TATATAACCAGACTGTCATGGTACAGGAAGTGGTTTATGGAAAAAAAATGATGTTCTCATATGAGGACACTGGGTCTCAAAATGTCACTCTTTTTGAAGAATACTACTGCAAAACTTGAGAAACTTCAGGATAGTCTTTCTGGGGGTTCCATTTCCCTAGTTATTTTGGCAATATAACTGCCAGTTGTTGACCAGAGCAAGATTAGAGAAGCACATCATCATCATCAACGACAACTTTCAGATTGCTCTTCAGTTTGTAGAACATATTACATATTACACAATAATGGCAGGAAATTGCAGAAGATTTGACCAGAACATCCTTGGTATAATTAATGGATTGAACAAATGGACCACTTGTAAGAACTATTTACATCTGTGAACTGTTCTAAATATCTCCAGATTTAACAAAAATGTGTGACTAAATATACACTATTACACTATTTACATTTGTAAACTTCTAAATATTTGCAGGTTTATCCAACCTTGTGGGACAATTAATGATGAAATTATAGTCCCAGTGTCCTCAAATGAGGACTTTATCTTTACTGACATTGTACTTTGCTTCAATTTTTAGAAAAGTTATGTTTGCATGTCTTTTGAAGCTAAAGATGAAGCAGTGCATAAACACACTGGTTTTCAAGCGTGAAATGTGATTTTGATTTTGACCTTGGCCATTTGTTGTAGAAGCTTTTTACTGGGATCCCCGCCATCTTATTTTCACTCAAATGAGTGCAATATTGTCATGGAACCACTAGAGGGTGCTGGTAGTGTGTATTAATGACAATTGGTTAAAGTTTTAAAAAATGATGAGTCATGGGTAGAGAGGTGAAAATACAATTTCTGTGGTCTCAGGAGGATGAAAGTGTTATTATCACACTAAGCTAAATGTCAGACTCAAGCTAGACTTTTGTTTTATATAGCATGAATTATCAGTTTTATTCTCATGGTTTCCAGTAGAATTCATTTAGCCCTTTTTATTTAGCTTTCATGGGGGCCAAACGTTTTTAAAATTAAAACAGCAATAAAAACAAAGTCAGGTAATAAGACATTAAGCATCAGTTTCTGTCTGGTTTTCTCACTCAGAGCAGTTCCGGTTTGTGTCTCAGAGACATAGAGGTTTCCCTTTCAGCGCCACGTTTTACATCAACGGCCTGATGGCGATGAGGATCAGCTCCTGCTGCGAGTACCGCTACTCTCCCGGCTTTCAGCAGGGCAGGAAGAGCTGCTTCAGGCTGACTTGGCTGGCTGGTGGGATGCCCTGTTACAGGTCAGATTTCATCCGTTTAGTGGGAGGAGAGCCAGGTTTTGGCAGAGAAGTAATAAAAAAAAATTACCAGTCTAAACAAAGTGAGCAAATCCAACCTGAGGCCTGAGGAAAAATGAGGCAGACTGCACAACATAAGGGAATGATGTTGGTACTGGGGAAGAAATACGAACCATGATGAAAACACATTTTTCATCGTTTTTTTTTTTTTTTTTTCAGATGTACTAGTCTTCGAAACAAATACAGCTCCTGCCAGCAGCTGAACAACGGCACAAAGGAAAACTTAATTCTCCCTCTTGAGCAGAACACTGGCAACGGTACAAAGCTGGAAATGAGTGTCTCAATTTTCCATTACTTTCTAAAGCTTATTCATCAATATGTTTTGACACTGAGCCCAGTCCTTGGTTTCAATTGGCTAGTCTGAAGACAAAACGTCCCAGAAAGTGTCATTTTCTCTCGTTTTGTCTCCGTCTCCCATGCAGACAACATCGAGTCGTCGTCCCCTCTCTTTATCCCGGCCAAACCTGAGAAAAAATCCACGAGGAGGACAAGAAAACACATCAAAGAGGGAGGATCCACTGACAGCGAGGACCACGTCGAAGCTAGATTGAAAGAAACCTCCAAAAAGAAAAGACGCAGGGGTCAAATTAATCAGAAGGGGAGCAAAGGCAGGACAGCTGGAAGTAACAAGGGGGAGGACAGGCGAGACGGCGAGGGCTCAGAGAGATCAGCAGTGACAGAGAAATCTGAAGGCCGGCCCGAAAAAAAACAACAGAAACACTCGAAAACAGCCAACAATGTCGCAGCGCCGCAGACGGAACCGCACCCATCAAACAAAAACCAAAAGACTCCCAGTGAGTGTTTGACTTGGTTTGATTCCTGCAGTTATTAAAACACAGCCTGGCATTAAAGGAGACGTATCATGTTTTTTACATTCTTCATTTGGGGTCTATATAAAGTGGAACTGCAATGCTTTGGTCTGAATTCCTTCTTACTGTAACTCCACAAGCCCCTCTTTCACCTCTTTTCTGAGGTGTGGCACAAATAGGGATGTGACGTTCACAAACAATTCGAATCTTTCAAACGGATCTTTACAACAACGATAGGAACCGAGTCGCTGACAGTTAAGAGCTGTTTGCAGTTTGGCTTTTAGTTTTCCACCGTAAACTCAGAGACAATCGCTTCTCTTTTGCTTTTTCACAGTAAAGAGGCATGTAATCCCCTACATGATGACGTAACTTGTACAAAATCGAAACATGTCTCTATAGCCATGTTTCCTTTCAATTTTAATGTGAATTTTGAACAAAATTTGTGCTGCAAAAAAAGAAATGCACATCAAATGTGTTTCCATCAACTGGCTTGGAGCGAATCAGGCTACACAAAGTGTAATTACGTCAAACGTTGAAGTTAGAAAACAGGAAGTAAAGTCGCAAACTTGCAGGGACACATCTCAGGACAATGGAGAGAAGATATCCGGAACGTGTTGCTGCTATCAGGAAAGTCGTAATTACTCTGTTATATCAACAGATGGTGATGTTGCTGTTACGGTGCTGTCTGGAGATGTAGAAAAAGAAATGGCATTTTCTTCACCTTACAGGAATATCCAGGAAGACACCGAATGCCAGAGGAGGGTCCAGCTGTAAACACAGCCGCTACAGTTATTGGACAGCAGGAACAGCCGATCGATAAATGTTCACTGCATCAGAACTTATTCGACAAACATGTTTCCATCGCCCCTTTTCCACGTTAACTCTTAGGGAAAATCCAAAAACCACCTCAAGTTTTTTGCAAAATTAACGATGTTTTTGCAAATTTTGCCATTTCCGTCCACTTTTTCTAATGCAATACGTCAAAATAAAAAGAAATGTTGATGGAAACACGATTTATGAAACAAATGGCTCCTCAAGATCCAGATCCCTTTCAAGAGCCTTGTCCCATCTCTAGACTCAGATCAGCTCATTTTGAGGCTGCCTCTAAATCCAAACGCCCCCCTCCAGTTTCATCCTCCGTACCTTGATAGAGGAGTTTAAGACTATATAGTGGCACAGAATATTTTTATCTAAAAATTAACAATGGAAGACGTGCCCTTCCAGCCTTACCTGACCTTAATTAGAAGTTCTGTTGCAAATAATTTGACGTAGTTCAGAAAATGTCCTGAAAGCTAAACGTGTTGAAAAATATGACCCAAACAGAATATAAAGGCTGTGTCCAAAACTACAGGCCAGGTCCTCCGGAGGACCCAGACTACCCGGTTGCGGCGGGCCGGGTCCTTGGTAGACCGGGAAGACCGGAAAAAAAGAGGCTGTGAATTTGGACGGTCTAGTCTCCCCTCCTTACCCCGGCGTACGTCATG